ACATGTTCAATGGTTGTTCAAGTGAGCAACAGTATGAAGTCATAGTGAACTGCGGGTTGCTCAAAAACAAATTCGACAGTGTCCTATATGTATTCCAGTGGCGTCATAAATTGAGACACCGTTTACCAGTAGTAGTAGTAGTAGTAGTAGTAGTAGTAGTAGTAGTAGTAGTCGTCGTAGTAGTAGTAGTAGTAGTAGTAGTAGTAGTAGTAGTAGTAGTAGTAGTAGTAGTAGTAGTAGTAGTAGTAGTAGTAGTAGTAGTAGTAGTAGTAGTAGTAGTAGTAGTAGTAGTAGTAAAACAGAAATAGCCCCACGAAATTGAAGAAATGGAGCTCAGTCGAAAATAACCGACAACTATCTCTGAAGTTCATAACAAAGGTAGCAACATCTAGTAGCTTTTGCTTTTTGTCATTTAGCATAACACAAACTTTTTTGGCCTTGCACACAGCTACCGGCCCAACTTTGAACCGAGAAACTTTGCTGGTTGTTCAAGTCTATCGGAAGTAAGCTATAAAGCACAGGAAAGCTGCACTTAGCGGCAAACCAAAGTTTAAAATTGACGAAAACATGCAGACTCTTTTTCGTAATTGTGACCCGTGCTTGTGGTTCGCTGTGAACCTCTGAAAACATCACTGGCCGCGTGACTGGAATCCATGGAGTTCTGAAGGTGATTTTACATTAACTGTGCGGGTCCTTTTTAAAACAAGATGTTCCTCCTTGGGGTTAGTGTATGGTGAAAATGATTGGAGGTTTTTGACGTCCAGTAATTACGGTGGGAAACACGGAGAGAAGGACTAAGGAATTGTCTTTGACGTACGGAATTTCGGCAATAGAAACCAGTTCACCTCGCCTCTATTTCAGTACATGGATCAGCGTTGAGGTAGCAAACATGGCGTCGCCCTTCCTCGGAAAGGGTTTCAGGCAACAATGGGTCCTTGCTGTCAGGTGTGTGAGAATCGAATCACTCTCCTGTATGAAACCCCGACGCGTGGGTTTTGCAGAGCTCATAACGTCCGGCAAACCAACTGAGGACTATACTGACTGCCTTAGGCGGTAGGCAGGACGTACACAGGAGCAGTATGCGTTACTGCGCCTGACTGGAGGAGTCGGTACGAGAGGGTGAAGGGGACGTTGACGACGGTGGACACACAACACTCACCGGCGAGCATGTCAACGACTTGCATACTGTTCGAATGGAAAGATCATAAAAATAATTTGTTAAATTACATCCAGTTATTTAAGCAGCAAGGTGACGAGGACCGTACACATTCAAATTCGAACAAGTTCATAGTGCAAGGCAGAGCTCAGTGTTAGGAGGCGTAAACTCCGTAGCATGGAACTGTCGGCAAGGACAATGCCACATGCTCAGGGTTCATTCTTCGAAGAAGATACTGCCGTCATCCATTAGATCTCTCAATGTCGGACTGATATGTGAACTCTATTTGAGAGGAGTCCGTTCACTTCTGGCTCCTGATTCAAAGCTATAGCCTTGAGGATATGTAGCCAGATTTAAAATGCGCACCTAGATCGAGAAGCAATTATCAGGTGTCAACTTAGTGCTCATTCAATAGCCTATCGTTGCGTTTTTTAGAACCCAATTCACAATTTTGAAAAATTCCGAGGCGTCGGCGATATTCGCATAATCCAGTAAGTTTAATCCACTTGTTAAAGACTCTTCTATCCCTGCAGTCTTACCAGCTTGAGTATTCTGAAGCCTTTCCGCTCCTCCTCTGGGATGCAATCTCGCTTTGACCTTCGGTGATCTTTGAAAGTGCAAAGTTCGGAAAATTTATTTAAAAAGTAAAGTTGACTAACACGTGTTTTCGGTAATTCTTCGTCAGGTCAATACATGAAGGAGTGAAAATGTACAAAGACTCTCTTAACCCTCTCCCCCAACTCTAAGGACCAAAACCCACCGACCTCGTCATGCGGGCGGCGTGGGGAAGATGAGTGTTAATGACTTAATTGCCCTTGAGACACCTATAAACCTGTCATTTCTGTACATTTTCACTCCTTCGTGTAATTGTTTTGGCCTGACGAAGAATTACCGTAAGCACGTGTTTGCCAACTGGACTTTTTAAGCATAGCATGGGAATATTTGCGGAACTTAGACAATCCAAATATCTCTCGGTGGTGAAAGAACTCAATGGATTCCTCAAGATTAAAACCAGACTTGCGGCGGCACATGGGACGAGCAAATTTTTATCTGGATGTATTGAACGAGTGAATATCCCAAATACTACTGGAAAACATTACGGAGAACTCATATCGCCGCAACTTCTCCTGCACTAAAACGACATGCAGAAATCCACCTTGAGGCAGTTAATGCCGGAGTGAATATCCCAAATACTACTGGAAAAAATTATCGAAATCCAATACAAACACCGACTGAAAATGAGCCTGAAAGTAATTTGTATAAATTTACAATGACGACCGAGGAAAGACTAATTTGACAGACAAACTTGTGATTTCAAACCTTAGGGTAGATTATGCGGATAATTGGAAACCACATGTGGGAAGCCGAACACCCACAGTCAGTGCACTGCACCTCAATAGGGAGAGCTTTGGCCGTACCACCGACTGCTTTTTTCAATGATTCGAGTGTATCCGAAACCGCGGTTGTTTCTCAACTAAGTATTTAGCCAACATCACCTGCTTGACGATTCAAACAATGCAGAATTCCCGCCAAAGAAGCAGATATTAGTGTGGTGAAATAAACTTTGTAAGTGCAGTAAACTTGCCGGTTTTTTCATTGTCTAATGAGGTAACAACCCACGACAAATTATGCAAAAATCGGAAGAAACAGAAACTCTGGTACATACAATGGAGACAGGAATTTCGTCAAGCCTTCCCAGTAGGCACAGTTTCCTGACTTTATGTGTTCCACGGTTTTCTTACGTGCATTCTGTAGAAACACCCATTTCCTATTCATAAGGTTTTATTTAGACGAAAATGATGTTCTCAAATTCGCGTTAGAATGGCATATTTGTAAAAGAAGGGGTCGCTCCGTTATCTCCTTGAGAATATCATTCAGTCGAGCATATCTACATCTACGGATTTATTTTAGCTTTTCACGTGAAATTGACTACAAGGTATGCTCCGTAAGTGTCAAACATTTGACCGAAGTACATGAGGTGACCTACTATCCTCCAGCTAATTTATTTTATTCCCTTCGAGTAACGGGTTTGGCTATGATGCTGTTTCTCATAAAATGACTGAGCAAATAAGATTTGTATTGTCCTTTGTGTAAACTGTTATTAAATTCATACAGAGGTCAAAAGAAATGAAAAGATAGACATCGCTAAGGTCGTGATTCCTTCCGAGTGTAACTTACTGAGCTGCCTAGGAAACAATTACAGTGTATACACTTTGCATCATCATGATGTGCCTACTTATTGTGGTCGAGTAGCTTGATATTATTTATTCGGTTCAGTCAGTCGCAATCTACTGGGCTCCGTGAAACCTTCCACATCTGTGTCAGGTGTACTCATAGTCCTTAGTGAGTATTCCACTTTTTTGCTCAAATGTCGCTTGAGAATAGCAACTGCTCTTTGGCGTTTGCATCACTACTTCCACCCTCACTCCAACTCTGCATTGAGCTGCCGACCTGGTGCAGGAATTTCTACTATGTGAGTACGAAAAGGCGGATGCCCGGGGTAGATCCGTCCTCATCCTACCGGAGTCCGATTTCTCCTACTTACTCCAATGAGCACTGTCCCACCTGACGTTCTAAGACGATTTTCATTTTCATACAGTCGCCCACAATATATCACTGGTAACCTTATGTCTTCGTCTAACTTAATTCGGTTTTATTAGATCACTGTTTGCTGCAGCTTACTCATCGCCTTCAGCGACTGGAAGTGCCTCCTTCCTTTTCAGTCTCATATAGTCTCGCATTCCTATGTAGGAAGCCATTACTCGGTTTCAGCCGACTGTTCATAATTTATAGAAAAGAAACCAAGAAACCAAGACTGCAGCACTTTCGAAATAATACTGCAGAGGGTTAGCTGTTCAAACACCCATTCAGAACTGTTCATTTAATCAGCTTGGGCGGACGCAGGCAGAGGGATTACATCTCAGATAGAACGGAGCTCTTGTTCGTCATCCAATGAAGTTTGTGAATGGGGTTTACAGCATCGGTGTGACACCAATGTCCTATACAGACACGTACCCGACCGACATTCAGTCAAGAGCCAGTTTGCCGAGGACAAGGAAGCGGAAACCTATGCTATAGACCATACCTGCGAACCTGGACTGACAGAGGTGGAGAGATCAGGACGGCCAGACAAGAAGGAAGGCGCAAGGCGGGCGTCGGGGACAGGCATAAACACCAGCACACACGTGGTGAATAAATAGACCCCAGAGTCCTATCTTCGTTGTCGTCCCGCCAACCCTCCGCCATTGCGCCGTTTGCTACTCAAACGCTACGATGTCATCAAATTGCCGTAAGATGCAGAGTCAGGGTGGATATTTATTGACCTGGAATTCGCTAGCAACGTAGGAACAAAAATGTCCTATGGAATTTGAAATTGTAAACAGTAAGACGTGATGCGTGTACTGGGTAACCCAGGACAATATGAGCATTAACCAAGCTAAGCATGTAAATAAGACAGAATATTTACTTTTTACACGTTACCATCTCCTAGTGTCCCCTAGATAATAGGTTTGGTGTTGTTGTGAAAAGAGATTCCATAAGGTATCCAATATCTTAGGCACCTTTCCTGATTTGTTGTTTAACGACTTTCCGGAAACGTTTACAACACGATTACCGCATTTGTTCAATCCAACTGAAAGCGTGCTGGCGTTGTTGGCAAAGGCGCAGCTGACTATTACGAATGGAAGAATTATACACTGTTGGCAGATGTTGTTTTGAAAGAAGAATGGATGCGGGTGAGGAAGAAAAAGTGGCCGCTCTAATTCACAACTGACCAGTAGTTCATCACAGTGCTTTGGGGAAAGGGCCGTGCACAATAGCAGGTGTACCCCACGAAAGGTTAACTAAGATCCTGAACTGCACTTTTAACTAGAAAGGATTGCATCAGTAGGACTGTAAGTTTGATCTACATGCAAAAACTAAACTGTATGCTCCTTGTCAACGTGATTAAGTTTATTGTTATACTTTGTTAGTGAGTCGGGCTCGGAGAATATTTAAATGACTTTTGTCGCTTGGCGCAACCAAATAATAGGTGTTGATTTAAGCTGCACGAGAAGGATCACGCTAGCTCTCACTAACGGAGTATTTTCAACACCTTCTTACTGGAACAGAAGCCCACTATTTTAGCCGCAGGAACTGGTGTTCCAGATAATCTTTTATTGGATTTGCGATTGTGGGACCAGACTGGTGTGTGACTGGAATGTGAAATGACATTCGAAGCAAGTTCGTTTTCAGTCTGTACTGCCGATAGGTGTCGGGGGCTAA